ATTATCAACTCTGATTCACTCAAAAGGTTTCCAACTTTATGTGTTACGGTTCCTGACCCTTATTCCCCATCCTCCTTTCTTAGGAAATGGCTTTAAATATTTCAATCCTCACAGGGGCATTACTCCAATGGGTAATGCTCCAGTTGCAAGTACTCTTCCTCCAGTTATTTGGAGGCGGGGAGGAGAGGGTGGTGACATGATCAGACCTGTGTTTTAGAAAAATCACTTTAGTGGCTGAATGGAGCTTCCTGTTGCCTCCAGGAGCAAATAAAAAAAAAAAAAGGATCTGTTTGGCCTTCAAAGCCCTTTATAACCTGTCCCGCTCCCACGTTTCTAGTCTTTTTATACCCTAATCCTGAGCACATATTCTTCAATCCAGTGACATTGGCTGTTCCATGAACAGGACATTCCAACTCTTGGCTGTCCCCCATGCCTGAAACACTCTCCTTTCTCTGACTTCTGATCTCCCTGGCTTCCTTTGAGTCCCACCTTCTCCAGGAAGCCTTCCCCAATCCCTCTCAGTTTCAGTTCTTTTCCTTTTTAATTATTTCCTAATTATTCTGTCTTTAGCTTGCTTTGTATGTATTTCTTTGCATGTTTTTATCTCCCCCATTAGATTTAAGCTCCTTAAGGGCTGGGAATGTCTTTTGCCTCTTTTTTGTATTCCCAGCATTTAGCACCACACCAAGCACTAAGTAGGGGCTCAGTAAATGTTTACTGATTGATTAATTGACTCAGGATTATCCCTAGGAATGCTGCGGTAGAAGTAGTCCAGCTTGATGAACCGGTGAAAATCAAGATTGGAAGAGTAAGAGTGAGTGCCCAAGCCCTAGGTGCTCCATAACATTCACAGTGGGCTTTGTAATCTCTGACCACCATCCCAGATACTCAGCAAAATAATTTGGTGGGGTGTGTGTGTGTGTGTAGAGAGAGAGAGAGAGTGAGTTGAGGGATGACCTCATTTAATCCCATTTGAAACAAGAAAAAAAATACTCTCAAAATAACCTGCACTCTGCCACCAAGGAAACAAATTAGCACCTCCTCTTCTTGACAAGGTGCAACTGTTCATTAGTTAATGGTTCTCTTTTGATGCCTATTTGATTTGAAGAGTTTTTTTCAAGGCCTCTGCCTAGAGTTAATGAATAGCTTTGCTTCCGAGCTCTTGGGAATGAGCCCCTGCCTCCTCCCCAATCATTACTTAGCAGTCTTAGCTCATCCCCCAGGGACAGTGACTTGCCCTTTTAACCTGAATTTCATTTGCTAGGTTTGTTCTGTCGCTGTCACTGTAGCTTTATAACTGCCATGCTGTCTGCTAGAGGGACCATCTCAGCCTGTGGGCTAGGTTGCAATGCGCCCAGCTTGATCAAAGACTGTTTTTCTGCTGTGTATTGGGCAGGTGACCTGGGCAAGGGAACTAGGAGGTGGCAGGTTGAAGGCCAAGGCTTTGGGGCAAAAGAAGGGTCATGGAGGGGAGGAGGGCAGGATTCCAAGATTTTAGAATTATTAGAATCTTTTCTAGAACAGACTAGTGGAATTATTCTTCCCTCCCAGGTGCTCTAGGAAAGGTCAAGTTAGAATAGGACTTATTTTGGGAATAATACAACAAAAACAATCCACATTTTGGGCTTCTAGGTGGCTTAGTGGATAAAGTTCAGGGCCTAGCATCAGGAAGATCTGAATTCAAATCTGGCTTCAGACACTTACTAGCTGTGTGACCCTGGGCACTTAACCCTGTTTGCCTCAGTTTCTTTATCTGTAAAATGAGCTGGAGAAAGAAATGGTAAACCACTCCAGTATTTTTGCCAAGAAAACCCCAAATGAGGTCATGAAGAGTCCGAATTAACAACAACAACAACATATAAGGGAACTGAGGCTAAGACAGGGTAAGTGACCTGCCAGTAAAGGTCCATAGTCAAATTTGAATTCAGGGAAGTCTGATGTACCACCTAACTGCCCTCAGCTCAGGAACTTAGGAGGGAGGCATTGCAAATATTATTCCTGTTTCACCCATCCACCTAGACAAACCTTCCTAAATTTTGCTCCCTGCCCTCTTTGCTTCTGATCTTTCCTCATCCCTTCTAGTTATAGGTGACTGTCCAAGTAAGATAATGAACCCATTTGAGCTTACATGTCAGTGTCATCACCACCCACACCTTTAAGAGAATTAACCTTAACCCTAAGAAGTAATTGTACAGTCGAAGGCTGGTAAAGATGGTATTTGGAGACAGACGAGGCAAGTTAGGAAAATGAAAGCCAGTACTAAGTTTTTGAGTTGGCACAGGAAATCTCATGTTCTCATACCCACCTGGTCAGTTACTGGATTGTCATCTTCCCTAGGCCATAAACCATGCTTTATGCAATTTTATCACCACAGAGTAGGCATTTAATAAATAATCATTAAGTGAATAAATTCACAACACACACACACACACACACACACACACACACACACACAGAAATCCTAGTTGGTCCTGACCACCAAATTTGACCATAGTCAGTCTATCGACCCCGAACATTGGAAACCATTGGTCTCTAGGTCAATAGACTATTTGAAGGCCTATTAGATGTTTGTGTGAAAGGCATTAAATAAGGATCATGATCAGTAGTATCTTGTTTCTCCCTTACTAAATTATAAGCTTTCTATCCTCAAGATTATAATCTGATAGAGGAGATGAAACAGGTAAACAAATAAACACCCTTGCACAGAGATAAACCAATTACTAGACAGTGGCTAAAATGCTGGACTTAAAATTAGGAAGACCTGAATTCAAATCCTGCCTCAGCTAGCTATGAGACCCTGAGCAAGTCACTTAACCTCTGTCTGTATCAGTTTCCTCATCTGTAAAATGGAGGCAATAATAGCATTTACCTTACAGGGCTATTGTGAGGATAAAATAAGATAACCTATGTACAGTGCTTTGCAAACCTCAAAGTGCTTTATAAATGCTAATATTATTGTTTTTGTTATTGTTGTTATTATTATTACTACTACTGCTGTCTAAACTTGCCTTGTCCTGGGGAGAGCATCAATCTAGGCAGATCCCATTGTCATCTTGGCTAGGGACCCTGGCTCCTAGATATTTAAATGGACAGCTGCCAAGTGGCATAATTGCTTGTTTTTTTTTTTCCAGAAACAATTGGACTTTCAGTACCCTCAGTGCCCCAAACCCCTTCTCTTGTTCTTCCACCACAGGGAAAAAATTTCTCCCATAAAGGAGACCTTTTTAAATTTTCCTTCTCGATCATTAGACTTCCCTGGTTTATTTGTAAGACCAATGTGTATTCTGCTGCCCATCTTATTTTGTTGGGAACTGAAGCTGTTAAATTCAGGGGAATGGAGGCAAGATAATTTTCTTGCACGTAAGAGTCCTTACAGATAGGTAGAGAATTTGAATTGGAGAAGTCCTGTCCAGCCTAAATAAAGATGTAGACCCGGTGCTATTTAATTTTTATTGAGCGTCAACAAGGGCTCTAGGCGCTGTACAGATCCCAGAGTTAGACATGGTCCCTGCCTTCTCCATGGTAACAGTGCTAAATATGGACAAGTTTCCATGGAGATTAGTATCACAGGCTGCAGTCCTCACTTTAGGAACTATATACGCTTGTTTCCTTGTGTACAGAGTAGAATTCGAAGACACATTAGCATAGGGTCAACCTGACCCTGAGAACTCTCAATGACTTAGGGACAAATGCTTTCAAAAAGTGCCACAATTCTGCAGCCCCCAAAACCACTTCCTCTGGCAAACCTCCTCCTCCTCCTCCTCTGCCCTTCTCAGGTCAGGTTAAAATCTGAGGAAGTCAGGTGACAGATTAGCTGGTTAGAGAAATATGTAAGCCAGCTTTGATTTGTATTCTTTACTTTTAGCAAGAGATCTGCTTCTCATTATTGGCATGATCAGGCTCTGGGGAAGAGGATTTCCTACTATTGGGAAGAAAGACTGGTAAAACACGCCTGCATACACACAGAGACAATGACAAAATCACTTGTTTGAGGCATTGCTGTCCCCGTCACTTCCCATATGGCACATACATGATCACACTCGTGTACTGTCCTATTTTTAGGAGATTCACTGATACAAAAAGATTTTTTTAAAAAAATACTTTTCAGTGCCCAAGCCCCTTGCCTCCCTTTTCTGAGAGGATTCTAATCTGCATGGGGTTTTTAAAAGCTGCTTTTTTCAGGAAAGCTAGCCATTGCCATCTTTCTGAGAACAAATGAGATTGATCTTAACATCTCTTAACTGAACCACATAGCTACATTGGGGTTTTATGTTTTAAGGTTTGTGGGTTTTTTAAGTCCCTGCTAAAATCTCACCTTCTGCAAAAAGCTGTTTCCAGTCCCCCCTTAATGCTAGTGCCTTCCCTCGGTGCTTACCTTCAATTTATCCTGTGTCTATCTTATTTGTACATTGATGTTTGTATGTTGTCCCCACCATTAGATTGTGAGCTCCTTGAGGGCAGGGACCGTTTTTCCCTTTCTTTGCATTCACAGTGTTTAGCACACTGCCCGGCATTATATAAATGTTAGCTATTATTTTTATTATTATTTTCCCTTTCTTTGTATCCTTATTGACTTGACATGACTTTAAGAGGTTAAATAGAGAAGCTGAGTCCCAGCCTGGAGGGAACAAGAATCTGAGCTGTAATTTGTTCATTTGACTTCACTTTAGTAGTTTAGTCATTAAATCATCTGTGTTTATAGCTCAATAATCTGTTAAATTCACTAGTGTCCTCCACCCACAGATGATTGTGTATGTTTGTATATATTAAAAGAGATATCAGTAATGTTTACATATATAGATAATCTCCACGCTACAGTTAGCTAAAATATGGAAACATTTAAAAGGATGGATAGTTGGGTTTTGGGAGGGATTGAGGGTTTTTTTGTTTTGTTCTGTTTTTGGGGGGGATGAGGTTGTGATAGCCATTCTTAAAGCAGTCTCACATATTACTTTAATGGAGAGTTCTACCATGCTTAACATACATTTCCTGTGTTCCAGGCCAAATTATGTTGGTGCAAATGCCCTTGGTCAACCAAGAACAACGGGGATTCTGGTAACAGCGATGTCAACTCTCATTCTGTGAAAACTCACAGATCCCATACAATGGAGGAATTATACAAGGACACCCAAAACCTACCCATGGATGTTGCCAGTTCTCCTCCCTCCTTGGCCAACAACAAACTGGAAAATGGGGTGGCCCAGCTGATCACTGCTGAAGCATGGAATATCAACTCAACAGACTTGATGAAAAAGGCGCTTTCACCGCTGGTGACTGTTCCAGCCCCTTCCATCCTGACCCCTCCAGCAGAATCACAAAGCGGGGTAGCCCTCAAAGTCGCAGCGACTGTGCTTCAGCCAATTTGCTTAGGGGACAGCCCAGTGGTCCTGCCAATACATTTACAAGTTGCAGGAAGCACCACACCTCAGATCAGCCCCAATACTAACACTCCCTATGTCATGACTACCCAAGGTCCAGTGCCTCTGCCTGTCCTCCTAGAGCAGCATGTGTTCCAACATTTAAATTCTCCACTGGTCTTGCCCCAGAGTGCTCCCTGCCCCACCAATCCCATTCACAACACTCTTTTCCAAGGGGCTTCTGCCCCTGTGGGACAACCCCAGCTGCTAGATCAGAAACCCCCTGGTCAACCCCAGGAACCTGTGTTACCCCCCAGTATTTCAGACACCAGGGTTTGCTGCTGTTCTTCAGGACTTGTTTCCTTCCCAGGGGACTTTAGGCTCATCACCTTGCCAACCTCCTCCAGATTATGCTTCCGTCCCACCTCAACCTTTTAGCTCTCCACTGTCTCCTCTGGTCCCACCAGCCACTCTCCTGGTGCCATATCCTGTGATTGTCCCCTTGCCAGTGCCGGTTCCTATTCCCATTCCCATTCCCATAGCTGTGCCCCACAGTTCTGAATCCAAACTCAACCCTGACTTCCCCAAGCCACCCTCCTTCGCTATGTACTCCTGCAAAGGAACTCAAACCCCTCTAGAGAAGGAAGAGATAAAACCCTTCAACTTTCTCCAGCAGCGGGAGTTTTCCCAACTCAGCCGCCACACAGTGATCAAAATGGGCAACGAGAACGAGGCCCTGGACCTTTCCATGAAGTCCACGCCCTTGCTCAAAGCGAGCGAGGTCAGCCCCCTGCCATACCCTGAAGATAGTGCACTAGACCTATCTCTCTCTTCCTCCCGTAAGGCAGGAGGTTCTGGGCCTCTCCCTGAGACAGTGCTGTGTCCCAGTTCAGCCATGGACAGCCCAGCCCTTCCCTTGATGGAGAAACTGTCCGGCGCAGTTATCCCTTTCACCCAGCCTAAGCCACATGAAACCTCCATCAAAGACAGCCGCAGCAGTAGCAGCAGCAACTCGTCTGAGCTCCTGAGGCAACAGCAGAAGTGGCTAGTGGACCAGACCAGCCGCCCAGGCTGTGAGCCCAAGACTGGAAATAACATTGAGATTGTAAGCACGTCACAGACAGCCAAAGTGATCGTCTCTGTCAAGGATGCAGTGCCCACAATTTTTTGTGGCAAGATCAAAGGCCTGTCGGGGGTATCCACCAAAAACTTTTCCTTCAAGAGAGACCTTCCCCAGGATTCTGTGCTGCAATGTTATGATGTCAAGGGCCAGGCAGAGTCCAGGGAAAATGCAGAATCCCTTAGGAAACCCATCAAAAACCGAAGTGTAAAGTTAAAGAAAATGAACTCCCAGGAAATACATATTCTTCCAATCAAAAAGCAACGGCTGGCTGCCTTTTTTCCAAGAAAGTAAATTATGGCTTTTTAAAAAAAAAAATTAAGATTATAATATTATGGGGAAAGATGCACTTGATTTAAAAAATGCATTTAAAACTTAAACTATCTTTGTAAGTTATTTTTTGGGGGTAGTAGGGAGGTGGGAGGAAAGGATCAGCTCTAGATTCCCTGTAAGCTGGTTTGGCTTTTTTTTTTTTAATTTTCAACTTTTCCTGAAAGAGTAAATAAAAGCAACCTATTTTTCCAGTGGATTGCACATTTTTGCAGCTTTAATGGAATAACGGATGAGTCAGAGGGGGTAAAAGCTATTTTCACTGCCATAAAGTGCTTTGATGATGTAATTCCTAATAATGGGTAGGATGAATATTTCAAAATAAATGTTTGTATGTGCTAATTGGTTGCAGCATTCTGTCATTTGTAAGTTTGCTTTGATTAACTGGGTAGGTTTGGCCCAAAGTCTGTAAACTGTGAAGCATTTATCTGGGTTATAACTCTAAGCTGTTAGGTTCCAACAGACTGAGAAAAATTCTATTACCCAATAGCACCATCAGGGAACTGCCAGACATACTACACATGATCCCTTCAACCCTTCGGGGCCTCTCTTTCCTAATCTGCAAATTGAAAGGGTTCTAAACCCTAAATTCTATTGATTCTATTTGAATTTTCCTTAGAAGCAAATAAGGAAGAATGCCTCAAAGAGAAGAAGTAATGTTAGGGAGGCAAGGTCATAGATGGAAGGTCAACCCTGGCTCTAAAGAAAGAGAACCTGGATTCACAATCTGCCTCTGGTACTATCTATGTAACCTCGGGCAACATTTAACCACCCTAGGCCTCAATTTCCTCATTTTTAAAATGAGAGGACCTTGGAGGGCACTTTCAACTCTAAATTTATGATCCCACGATCTCTAGTGCTGAATCTGCTTTGAAAGCACCCAAAATTCAAAGGCACTACTTAGACTGGTATGATAGAAAACCATTATGTGAAAAAGATTGTTGGGGAGGTCATGCAAGATAGGAAGAAAGTTGGTTGCCAAATGGGAAAGGAGAATTATCATTTTTCCTAGCCTGAATTAAGATATATGAGACAGAGTTAATTATATATGTGGGTTAGCATTTTCCCAGCCTGAATCAAGGTATATGGGACAGAAAGCATTGTTCTTTGTTAGTTTAACTATTTCTTGAGGGATGCCCACAGGAGGAAAAGAAACACTGTAACACTGTCACCTGCCAATGTAAAAGCCACCCACACTAACTCGCAAGTGGGAATGCGAACTTAAAATAAACCTGATGGGTGGCACCTGACACATTGTGTCTGAAACTGTGCCAGAGGTAGGTTACTTTTGCATGCCTGCTTTCAAGCTTAAAATATGTTCACTTATTGCAATTCATGAGTTTCCCACTGTTAGTATTCAACGCTAACAGGAAAAAATGCAATTGGGCAACTGTTCTATGGTTTATTACCAGGCCTTCCACATACAGGGTTAACACTTTTAACTGTTCCTATACCATGCACATCACTGTAGTGTTATGCATAGCTTGCTTTTTTTTTTAACATCCCCGTTTGTTTATTTGTTTGTTTAAGTGTAGCATAATGGCAAATAAATAACAGCTTCCTGTCAGGTTAACTGTTCCCTTCTGCTCTCCTGAAGCCAAATTGCGTCTTTTCTGCTTTTAAATGGTGCAAACTCTTCTCATTTCTGTCCTCTGTTTAGGTTTCTTGAAGTTTTGTATTTGTTTTGTTTTTGTCCTGAGCAGCCAGTCTTTGTTCTGACTCCAAATAAGACAAAAATGTTGTGTTTGGGGACAAGTTTTAATGGCCTAATGCTTGTCCCTGGAGAGAAGGGTGGGCTTATGGTCGTTTCTGCTCTGTAGTGAGAGCTCATCGGCCTCTATCCCTGGGTCCTTCCACCGCATTCCAGATGTGTTCAGAAGACTCTTCCGAAGGGGAAAGAAAATAATCCATCCTTCAGGCAACTGCTTTAAAGGCCCCTCTGGGTGTAGGTGCGTACAAAAGTGTTAGAGGAGTAATTAGCCACAAGATTTCCCTCCAGGGGGTTCCTTTGGTGGTAGCCAGAAAATTCAGGTTCTTTTCACTTCAGATTACAGGGTCCTGGGAGAACAAGCTAGAGCCAAGCCTGATGCCATGTGTTGTGCTACCCTAAAAAAATTCTGATGGAGTTAGTCCTACCCCAACAATCATAGTAGACTGTCTCTTAACTGGCCAATGACCACCACCCTCCTCTGGGAGGAGGCAAGAGTTCTGGAGTGTGATCAGCCTGAGTGAAGGCATCTTGGCCAGACAGATGTGGAGCAGAGAGGCTACAACCTGCTATAGTCATCACCCCCTCTCTCTTTCCCACTTTTCTTTATCTATGCTGCTGAGTGGCAGGGACCCTAGCAGATCCTCTATGTGCACAGGAAGTAAGGTGTTTGAGCTGTTAGGTTGTCTTAACCTGCTTCCATTTGCAGGTTTCTTCTGAGTCAGCTCCTTAAAGGCAGAAACTACTTTCTTGCTTTCCTTTATAATCCCAGCACTTAGCACACCGTCCAACACACTGTTGTTCTTCAGTTATGTCCAACTTTTCATGACCTCTTTTGGGGCTTTCTTGGCAAAGATACTGAAGTGCTTTGCCATTTCCTTCTCCAGCTCACTTTACAGATGAGGAAACTGAGACAAACAGGATTAAGTGACTTGCCCAGGGTCACACAGCAAGTAAGTGTCTGAGGTCAAATCTGAACTCAGAGAGATGATTCTTCCCGACTCCAGGTCCAGCACTCTGGGCCATCTAGCTGCCCTGGGCTTCTTATTAGTTATTAATGTGCCCAACATAGTAGGTGCTTAATAAATGTTTGTGGTTGATAATGCTGCTGCTGCTGGCAGCCAGTGGAAGGCTGGAGTCTCCTGGGAAAGTGGACTCTTTATAGGAGGGATTGGCTCACAAAGTGACAGTGGGGTCCTATAACATTCTATTCCTTCCATCACTCCTCCAGTCATTTCAGAAGTGACAGTTTTTTTTCAGCTGGTAGGCATTTCATACCTGCAAATAATTGATGCACTCAGGAACTTTGTCAAAAATCATAAATCTGTCACCTGTATGTTTCAATATTGAAGCTAAAAAAGAAGACATTAAGGGAGGAGGAATACATATCTCAGCAAGTTTTAACTAGCATTTTCCTTCCCTTAATCTTATTATAAAAGGTCTTACTATAAAATGTAAAGGTACTTCCCCTACCTCCCTTACTTACCAATTTCTTTCAGCAAAGAGAAGGCACAAACTAGTGGTCATTTTGAGTTTCTTGATGTGTAGTTTACTTTGGCATTTTGTCTACCATTGCCCAGGTGACAATGATGAACCCTTGAGTCCAAAGATAACTCAAAATAAATTATTTCCAAAATTTTTAAATATTTGGTTTTGTTTTGTTTTTTCATTAAGAGTACTAACAGTATTTGGGAGGAGATTAAGGTACTATCAAAGTGTGCATAAATTTGAAAGTGTCACCTTCTGGACAGGTTCACTAATCAGAAACTACTGAGCTGTGGATCTCAAGTTCTTTGTAGGTGACTAACCCATAAACACTGGGTCTCAGTTCAGTGAGTCCTCAGTGGCCCATCTACTTGCAGAATTTGGCCAGGCAGAGTTGGGGTGTTTTGTTTGTTTTTGTAGCTTTTCTTTGTGTTTTTAGTATTCTACCCTCTTTCCTACCCATACCTCCTCTCGCCAAAAAAAGTTTGGAAAAATTGACCTGCAGCACAATCAGAATTTCCAAGACTTTGGAAATTTAAGCTTTAGAAGAGAATTCAGAATTCAGTTGTGCCAAACCATATATAAAGCAAAGATTATTTCTCTTATGAATTGTGAAGTGGTGGTTCTTCTTAAAGACCTCCAGTAATAGGGAACCTTTTGAAGTTGCTCATTCCACTTTCAGACAGGTCTAATTAAGTTTTTTTTTTTTCCTTCTGAGACAAAACCTGCCTCCTAATGACCTGCACTGATTGCACCTAATCGTTCCTGCTGGAGCCAAGTCTATCAAGTCTTCTAATCACATGAAAACCCTTCTAATATTTGAAGGTCCTAATCAAGTCCCAAGTCTTTTTTTTCTTTAGACTATCCATCTCCAGTTACCTTCTACCCATCCTTCTCTGACATGACCTTCAAGTCACCTTATCAGCCTTTTGAGAAATGGAATTAGTCTCTGGAAAAGTCAAACATCAATCCCCCCGCCAAAAAAAATTAATGCACAATGGATATTAGTTTTTATACTGAAATTATGAAAGGGAGTAATTAACAGAAGGCAACACGCATTTTGTCAAGAGTGCTTTTGATAGGCAGGATTTGAGCTGTGTATAGTAAGATCTAGTTGGACTATAGAAAAGGAAAGGAAAATTTTGGACAGATCCTGATCACATTCTGACAACTGAATGATGATGAGCAGTCATTAACAATGATACTAAAGACATCTAGGTGGTGTAATGGATAGAGAACTACTAAAGTCAAGAGAGACCTTAATCAAATATTGCCTCAGATATTTACCAGCTGTATGACACTGAGTAAATCACTTAATCTCTGCATCAATTTTCTCATGTGTAAAGTTGGGATAATAATAGCCCCTACCTCCATCAACCTTCAATAAGTTAGGAAAATTCAGTTAATTAGAATCATCTTTAGTAGAATTTCACCATTGAAAGGGGCCTTAGAAATCACTTTGACCAGAGGCTCTTTTTTTTTTTTTGTATCATCTTTTGGTGATCTAGTGAAGCCTATGGATGCTTTCTCTGAGTAATATTTTTAAATGCATAAAATAAAATACACAAAATGACAAAGGAAATATATTTTAAAAGATGTTAAATAAAAATTGTTATGATCATGAAATAAAATAAATCAAATGCTTTGTAAACCTTAAATCAATATATAAATGCTAGCTTTTGTTATTAAATCAGGAAAAGAGTTGAAGATGCCCTCTTTTTTGTTTTTTTTTTGTTTTTTTTTTTGCCCTTCACTTCAAGGCAAAACTACTATCACTTACAGAATTTGAAAGATGCACTCTAGCAGATGTAAAGTGAAAAAAATCCCTGTTACATGCAATCTATAGCAGAAAAATAATCATCCAAATAGTTAAAGATAAGAGAGTCTGTTTATATTCTGGGACGACAATTTCCTCCCTAATTAGCTCATAATATCATAGACTTCTAATGCTGTAAGAATCCTTAGTCAACATTTAGTCCAATACCCCTCATTTTACAAAGAAGAAAACTGAGGCCCAGAGCTTTCTAGGGAATGGTGATGTGTTTTGTCCAAATATTAAAAACCAAGTTTGCAAACTAACGTTGTTCAGTCATTTTCGACTGTTCATAACCCTTTTGGGCGGTTCCTTGGCAAAGATATTGGAGTGGTT